AATAGCGGGATTCGAACTCTCGACCACATAATCGGAAATCCATTCCCATAACCATTAGACTATGGGCATTTTTATATAAATACCAGCCGTCGCACGCGACTCCGACCCCGTGACTGCGACCCCAACTTAATTAGCAGCCTATGAGTTCTTCAAGATTATGTTCTACTTCAACCCCAAATTTAATTGAGATCCGTTTAGCTGTTTAACTCTAAAAACATCCATCCATCCATCTACATTTTTGTATTTATAATATTTGTAAGAGACTTAAAAAGGGAAATGAAACGATTATAATATGCAAGACCTCGGTAGGATATATTGGATATATAATATTGAAGGTTACATCTCGTAGCTCATTGTAGGCCCGTAGCCTCACTGCGACCTCGATCGTAGCTCGTAGCACGATCACACCGACCTCGAGGGTGATGTAAAAAATACATGTCGATTGTAGTTACGAAAAGACTGTTCGTTAAATTTAACAAAAAAGCAACATAAATATCAGATGTGATTCGAAATCCAAGAACATTCAATTCTTTTTAGATTACTACGTTATAGAAGCATTCAAATATCACTTGCTACATAATGTTGTGTTTGTTTTGAAATAAATTACAGCATATTTTATATCTTGTTTCGAGCTTCTCATTTTTCATATGCTGAGCTTTACAGAAGTTTTAATTAATATAAATGAGCCTTTGAAATCTGCGGCGGACTACGCTCTACCTCTCCACAAGAATATCAACTTGACTAGTGAGTAAAGTTGATATTCATTGATATTATGTAGGTATAAATAATTATGAAATATCCACCTTATTACAGAAATATTTTAAATATAGGAATTTTCAAATTTTGCAAATCACGCACTAATATTATTTTAACCGGCCAACTAACCAAATTATGTTTTATACCAAGCGCGTTGGCGTTGTTAATTAACAATTGCCTAGGTCGATATCGATTTAATCAAATTAATTGATACCGCATACCTGTTGCATTCTACCGCAAATAAATATATAATACAACACTTTGAAGTTTCGTAGAATCGTATTCCGATACATATAGAATAGTTGCACTGTAAGTTTGTATGATTAAATGGGAACAGTTTTTATTTCATTTCTTTACGAAATAACATAACCAGAGAATGGAAAACATTTTATTTTTTACACTGCGTTAAACTTTCAATTGCAAATATTAAAATTCAAAACCCAAATAACAAAGAAAACCTTTGCCATAGGCTAAGAATTTTAGTAACCATGGCAACCTTGTTTCTTCTGCTGCTATTGGCTGGTAATTTTTGTTCTTGCTTATAGTAACATGCTTTGTTTATCGTAAGTTTAGGGATTTTATGAAAAGAAAAGATTAATTTTTAAATATACTATGATTTACATCCTATAAAAAAGTAGTGGCTGTGTACACTCTATTATATTAATATACATAAATTGATAATAATCTAATGTACATTGACGAGAACAATAGAGCTTCAATATAGTAAGACGCACTTTGAAAGCACCTCAAAGTGAATTCTATTTCCGACCATTAATGGGTATTCAGGTTCTCAACGGTCTTCTCTGTACCCTCTCTCAAAGCTATCTCATTTCCTATTATGTTGCAAACAAGTCCAGAGAGCGGTTACTTGTTTGAGAATTGTTGGGAGGCAGGGCGCATGCGCGGCCCGGCCGGAGCCTGACGAATCACTCCGCGAAGTCGACAGTCTCCCTTCTGTCCCTGTGCGATAACTGCCGGCAGCCGCTTCGGCCCATTCATAGCGGACATTAACTTAGCGCCACGCGCCACTGTGCACCTCGGTACGACTCTTAAAAACACCGATCATCTAATTGCTGTTTTTTCAGGTCAGTTATATTTTTTTTTAAATACTGGTTTTAAATAAGTTTGTGACTATTTACTATTGCTATTTTTTACAATATGGTTTGAAAGGATTTTTTAAAATAAAAAAAAATTATGGTGACTAGTTATTATTTTTATTTTTATGAAATAAAATAAATTTTCGGTATCAATTTTATTTAAGATATTACTTATCTGTGAGAGATATTAATTTTATTAAGCTTTATCAGCGATTGCCTTACAAACTTTAAGCAGATGTGAGAAACGATTAAGCTTTCAGAATTATTTATCCAACAAGATTTTTTTAAGAGCTGTGGGATAAATATTCTTTATAATAGGTTTCACTGAAATTTGCAACTACCGAAATAAAATTTGATTGAAAATTAAAAAACAGTGTCGGCTAATTAACTAAACTCAGACTATTACAAAAACTAAGCATTAATTATAATGTTAAAACAAACTTTAATTTATTACCGTTTATAAAAAATAAAGTTATTAGAAGTTATAGAGTTGCGAAGTTATTAATTCAACATATATTTAACCGCAATGAATTAAACTGCTGATCGGTTTAAATAAGGGTTTTTACTTTCTACTAGATTCTCGAAGTAACAATTAACTTACAACATAGTTGGTTTGGAAAAGCGCCGGTTTTTCTTGACGGTTCTGTAATACGCCATTTCTAAAGTTCCAAAAAGATTTTGCATTCGTGGAGAATTTACGCAATATTAGAAAATGAACTTTTTCTGATTTTTTTTTTATATTTCAGTTACAGTGTGTGCGTGCTATCTCGCAATAATAGAATTCTAGTCACAAAAGTACTAAATCGATATACTAGGAGTACACTAACTTATTCCTTAGTACAAAAGAAGATAAACGAACGAAATCTCGCATCGACATAACTTTTCATTACTAACTCTTAAGTGCTATTTGCCTGCATTTTTATTTAGGGCGAGGACGCAAAGCAATGCAAGTACTAATTTAAAAGGCGAAGCAAACTTCTGTGAGAATAACATCGTTATTAACTTTAAAAGCACTTTTATTTTCTACCGGTTGTATTAATTGTGTCTTTGTTCTTTATGATAAAAAAATATATTCATATAATAAAATTGGAGTGTATGTGTATGTAATATCCAAAGAAAGATTCCAAATTTCGTAAAGATAGTTGTATTTGCGTTGCTGATAACGAAAATTGCATTTAAAACCTTTCTGTCTGTTTGTTTGCAAGCCGCGTTTTTCCGGGTACACTCTGGAATTTTGACGGGACTTTCAATGAAGGCTAGCTGACATAGACCGGCATATTTTTAATACCGCGTTGTTAAAATGGCGACCGATCGCTATCTCTGGAACGGGTCCACCGATTTTGTCGGGACTGACTGGAAGGTATTTAATGCTCGCGAGTTTGTTATAGACAAACATTATTTTTTTTTAATTCCGAAGATTACATATTTAAAAAAGTTTGAGGGCGATAGCTCGTATAATGAATATTAATTATACGCACATATTTTGCAACTATGAAACTTAATAAACATACGAGTATAACCAACCACAAATATTTAAACAAAAACACTCTAAAACGTCAAGTTTTTACGTTTTGCACTCTCGTGTTTTTGTCAAACCATTATCTGACGTAGTTATTTTTATGTCGTCGGATGAGCCAAGGTAGGTAGGTTTAGAATTAAACGTATTTGAGGGTAAAAAGTGCCTCAGCTGACAGGGACAAAACCAAAAAAAGGCCCACGTAAACTAAAACCATTCTTAGATATTTTGCTTTGCAAGGGCCGCTCGAAATCTGACCGACGTGAAAATTTTAATGTAATTAGGAGTTTAAACGTGATCTTTTCCTTTAAGACGCTGTTATATTTTTAAATGTCTTTCCGTACACGGACGTCAGTCATTCCAATTTCACGAAAAGTACTTCTAAAGGTTTTCTTAAACGCGATTTCTATTTTTAAACTACATTAAAACTAAGAATACAACATCGAATCAAATCAAATCAATGTTTAAATCTAAATCGGGAAAGCTAATTGCAAAATCACTTTCGATTTCGAGCGCACCGGGCGCTCTAAACGGTGTCGGATTTGCGGAGTGTTTCGGACAGGTAACGTAACCGGCCGTAACACGATTTCCGACGCTTTTAAGCGATGAAACTGAAAGTGGTCTGCGGAAGCGGCGGCGGCCGATCTGTCATCGTTGGGATAACGTGAGCGCTTCAACCAAACAATTGACATGCAAACACTTCACTTACATGATAACGTTGGCTTTGTTTACACCTTAAATCAGTAAACAATCCTCTGCGAATAGACATCGAGCAACCTGTTAATTGCAGAAATAGCAGTAACAGCCATTATTAATTTGTTGTAAATCAATCAACATAGACTAACTTTGCACGGTTGAAATAAATGTAATGCATACTATACAATGTCCATGCTAGACACACATAGAACGGAAAATAAGTACTCATCATCATCATCATCACCAGCTCACTGTATGTCCTCACCGAGGGGTTCGGAGCCTACCCTAATAAGGGGTGACTAGGCCATAGTCAACCACGCTGGCCAAGTGCGGGTTGGTTGACTTCACACATATCTTTGAATTTCTTCGCCGATATGTGCAGGTTGCATCACGATGTTTTCCTTCACCATAAGAACGTCGGGTAAATTATGTACATTTGAAAATTCGAAAAATCGTAAATCACATTGGTACACGGCGGGATTCAAACCCAAGACCTGTAGATTACAAGTCGAGTGTTCAAGCCACTGAGCCACCGACGCTCTTAATAAGTACTATATTCCGTATAAAATGATAAAAAATTTCAAATACACACATGTGCACGTAAACTGTTGTACAGTCGGCGGTTACCTTAATAATAGACGTCATGAGAATATGTCCAACTGTTCTCTAAGTGATTTGCATATGTCGAGTTTGAAAGTTTTCAGTTGCAAATCGATTAATAATTCATAAAATAATTTCAGTATCTCGTGTTTGATCAATTAATATTTTAATGTTTAAAATAGTGTTCGCTAACTCATTGTAAAGTAAATCAAGACGTTGCTGTCTTTTGTAACCAAATGATACAAGTGAATACCTATTAATAAAAATAGAAATGCCATAAAACAGTCGGTTCTGTTTTTAAATACTTTTTATATAAACTCTGTGTTTCTTTGTTTCAGACAAAATGTCGTCGAAACTGCCATAGCTTATAGTCAAATGACAATAACTAGAACAAAGGTGGGATTATTATTTATTTCATTTCTATAGATTATAATATTTAATATACAGATTTCTAGAATTACTACCAAAATATTTGATTTTCTGTTAAAATTTAATAAAGGCTAGCTCGAAATAGTTAAATTAATCTAAAGCTGCAATATGAGATTTCCTAGAATGGACGAATATTTCATTTAGTCAACGTTTCAACGTTTATTACAGAATATCTGAAATTCAATAGAATTTCTGCGTTTAATCAAATAAGCTCACTGTAATATTGCATTTCAATTGAATACCGCGTACATTGGCAAAGGTAAGCTAAACAATTCCTATAGCTGTGGAAACGGCAAATCTGGATGTGAATTATTAAGTCGGTGTATTGATGGACCAACGTATTTGTACCGTTTAAATTGTATCTATATTAAGCGAACAGAACGATGTTTTCACGAACGAACGATGTTTTGTGTGAATGAAATAGTCACTACATTTATTATTTAAAGTACATCCAAGGAACGATTTCCGCTACGCTAGTAATAATTATGTTTGCCATTTTAGTTATTTAGCCGCTCAGATTTAATTATAAGAATTTCGCTTTTTGTTCGTCTCGAAGATCTAAAGCGAAGTGTCCACTAGCAATCATTTGCAGAAGTTGACTTGCGCAAGCGACTTCCGACGTCACCGCTCTCGCAAATGGACTGCTGCAACTTTGTGACTCGTCTTATATAGAGAAATGGCATTCAATGGAGACTGTTTTCATTTGATTTTTCAAGAAATTGTGCAAATTATTGGCCAGTGGATACTTGACTTTAGGTTTGCAGAATGATATTACAAATATAATATTTTCATCAGTGTGGGAGCGCTCATGAGACAGTCGTGTCATCCTCTACTTGAGCACCAACAAGCCGGCGGGGACGAAAACCTGCTGTACACACCAATCGATCAAATTTCAGGTAACCACTGGCTCTCACTAATTGATACCCAAACGGAAACTTGAGCACCGTTACTATTCTAACTTCTAACTTGTTCGAATCAAACGTTCCAATAACTTAATTAGCCCACAATGTAACCGGAACTCAGTTTCGTATTCCAACAAAGATGAGACAGGTGCTCATGTTTGCGTAAAGGCTAAATTAAATTCAAACTAGACTGTAATTTTAATAATTCGAAGCTTTTGAATCAGTGGCGCTTGTTTGCCGATAAAAGGCTTCACTTAGCTCATTAATATTGAGAGCAATTTTCGTATTTCAAAATGACCTAAATTAAGTGGAAATATCACACCGTATTTTAATTAACTTGACACTTTAAACCAGTTAATTGTTAAAATTAAACGCATCAAATGGTACTTGCAAAATGTTGTTACATTTTCCATGGTTTTTATTATTTAAAATTTCATTCGAATGCTCCTAGTCCTTTGATATATTTATCATACTCGTGTTCAAGTGTTCTAATGAAATAAACTATTTTATCGAACGTACTCTTCTTGAACATTCAACAAAACTTCAAGACGTAATAAATTTGTCTCAACTTCAAACTGATTTTTTTCTTCTTTTAAACATTTAAAGAAATTAATTAGCAACTAAATATTTTAATGAAGACAACAATAATTTAAATTCCTAAGTTATCCTTTTTTGTTATTTTGTTTTCTCGTATCTACAAGCAGTCGGTATTTCCTTTCTTCAGTTTCGAAAAGAAAAATCTTTTATTTTCATCAATTATTATTTTTTATTTATAAAAAAATGGCAATAAGTTCCTTAGTTTCAGAAACACGTACTTTAATTTGTAATTTATTTTATTTAAGTTTATACGAGTACCCCTATATCAGTCTAACTATCAATTACGTTTTTCGTAAAAAAAAAAGGTTTTTGGTTAAAGTCATTTAGTTCGGAATAAAAACATTAGGCGAAAGGTGACTGTTAGCTAATGTAACATTTTTTGATTTAACTCTTTGTAAACCGGAATTTCGTGGCCATTGCCGCAGATTGTCAGTACGGTGATCACTTTGGTTCGATGTTATGCGTACGGAATCATGACATTGTTAGAATCAAATGGGTGCAATGAGCTGTTTCCATTTACCTTACATGCATCATTCAATTTAAAATTTAAAAAAAAAAAACACAAATAAAACGTCGCTTGGGAGACAAAGTTTACAAAATTTAATAATTACCATTGGATTTACGATCATTAACTAAGTCCTTATCTAAATACATTGGCTATATACTAAAAGAAAGTAGGAGTATGTATGTACGTACAAAGTGTTATGAATCTGATTACTTAAGTTTTACTTAATAGTATTTCCCAATGGCCAGTTTAGATGTAGGATGATTTAGCAGTAGAACTGGAAGCGGAATTTGCAGGCTAGGTTTGTCGGTCGTTGGGGGGTATTGGCGGCTTCGATAGGAGAATAAACAAGGAGTTTTGATACAGTGCTACCTGAACATGTGGCCCGGGAGGCCGGCAGCAAGCTGACACGATATGCGCCGACGGAGGAGGACGAGGCGACACTCAGGGAACTTCTACTTAGGTACGTGTGACCCTAGCGACATGTCGAACAGCATTAGCTTTCCGCCTTTACTATTGGCTTCATTGCATTGTCGATTCATGAAATTCTGTGTGTTGATGTGTCTATAAAATGTTTTTATTTCACCTTGGCTTGGCATCCTAAATATCTATTATTGCAGATATTTTACTGATGCGATCAGCGACGCCTATCATCACTCACTTTCCCTTACTTCATAACATCGGACCATAGAACCACCGTACGACTACGTACATTAGTATCAATGTCCATGACATTACTATGTTATGCATTGACAACAAGTCTAGCACATCGTATTAGCTTATACTATTCATGTAATGACAAAAACTTGTAACTTCCAAAGTCCACGATGTATCCATGTTAGGTAGGGAAGCTTGCATGCGTGTGACCTTATAGTTTACGTAGAACGTTAACATCCCGTTACTTCAATTTGTTAAAATAACACAAAATATCCTGTTTACCTTGTCGATTGTTGGTGATGCAACCTAACACGCTCAATCCATACCACATCCGATCCCCACACTGTATATAATGCATTAAGTCTTAACACATCTCAAAATCTTTCTTATAAACTATGTGAGTACGTCTTTCTTTTCATCTAGTTTAACGTCGATACATCATAGGGGAGATAAAAATAGCGCCCAGCAATAAACCTAGTTGGAAAAGTCATCGAAGAATTGCACTTATTAGATAAATTACTTATTTTCTTCATTCAATTTAAAAGATATAAATCTCGAAATTGAAGTCATATTTCTTGTTTAAGTATAAAAATTACAACGTACAAATAGAAATAAATACAAAAACCAAACGCTTGTTTATAGAAAATAAAATGTTAAGAGGAATTTTTCCTCGTCTGAGAATTTAAGAAGCTTAAGTCCTCCTAACGTTTCATTAGAGAGTTTCATTTCAATATTTCAGAGAATCAATAAACAGCTTACGTCAAGTGCTTTGCCGTGTGCTCCCAATTAGACAGAATTTATTACGTTGCTAAGATTTTTCCAGGGAGTTCTTAAAAGGTATCATTTATTTGAGTACCATCAATAGGACTTATTGGAATAAAATATTATAAAAATATACAAACGATGTTTGTTATCGACGATTCGTGGTATATAAAATTCTAAATATTCTAAATATTTAGATGTTATTCGTATTGGTACAGAAAAACATTAAGGGCCTGTCCCACCAAATTGTAAATAGTCTGATAACAATCCAACGTGTAAAATTTGCGACGGAAATATCGGATTTTGTTACCTTCTCTGACAGTGACGGCATTTTTAAGCTATCTGAGCCTCTATCAGCTAGTGGTGGAATAGACCCTAAGTTAGGTATGCCGTAGCCCGTTTAAGTTTTCTGGCATGTTAACCATCTTGTCATACGATCCTTCGCAATAAATTAAATGATTTGTAAAGTCAACCAACCCTCACTGGTCCAGCGGTTTACAAAAGTCTAGTCATATAATAAAGTCAATTCAGTATTTGACCGGTAGAAACATCTCACATATTGTTATTTAATATCCTTAGATATTAAACTGAATTGTATGGTATTAACAACAGCTAGACACAAAGTGTAGCTTAAGTCTGTCAGTAAGGAACACAAGTAGCGAGCCATTTATAATGTACTGCGCAGTCTGCACTCCGGCGACATGAATCCACCCACTATATCTCCCTTAAAACATTCCATCTTAATAAATGTCCACATAATAAAATGTTTCCCACTGTTACAAATTATTTGTACATTTGCGCAAAAAAAAAAATAGAAATAAATCAGTAACTAAAATACACTTCGTGTGAAAATACCTCCAAATGATATTAATTATCACATTACATTATAATTGGAAGCAGAAATTGAAAATGAAAAGTAAATTAAATTTTAACGCCAATAAATGTTTGTAACCATTTTGCGGTGGTCAATACGATGAATCTGATTTCTGAAATTATATCAAACGAATTTCAACACGCCAACGATATTCGAAATGAAAATAATGGCATAAACATTGCAGAACAAAGACGGCGTTCGCCGAATTAATTAAAGTATCAATTTCGAAATTGTTCATTAACGAATTGCCTGAAAACAATTGACGGCCCGAACGTATCAGTTGCGAAGCGAGGCTCGCTCGCTTTTGTTATAGATTAAACAATTGTTCTATAATTTGGAGCAAAAGTTGCTTTTAAAAGCATTTTTTTTAAATAAAACTAACTACGAGTGTATGTTATCATACATTATAGAATAATCATAGCCAAGTTAAATAATGAAGAAAGAGCAACTTCTATTGTCAAATCGTACAGTTAGTTATTTTCTTTCGCTCTTGCCATAGATTGTAGTGGATTGAACTCGCGACCGTAGGCCCTACTACTACAACTACTAGGGCATTTTCTTACTATTTCGTCGTCAGACGTCGCGAGTAAAAGCTTGTATAAAATAGATTAGATAACACGAGCATTGTAGACAGGTACGTTGAAGACGTAATTTGTTTAATTATTTCTGTACATATATTAGTTGCAACATATTAACATAATCTAAAACCTTGTTCTTTTGTAGACACACGTTTTCGCGAAAAGTTAGAGTTTATTCAATTACTAGAAAAACATATTTGTTTAGCTTTTATATGAGGTTTATAACGTAACAAGTAGCAGACAATAATAGGGGGATATCTACTATGATCTTTGAATATTTATTTTTAGTACGTCAGTTATTAAAAACTAATTGATTATAAACTTACTAATATTATGAATGCGAAAGTTTAGATGTTTGTTAGAGTTTGCCGTCTAAACGGCTGGACGGATTTCGATGAAATTTGGCATAGATGTAGAGCCTAGTCTGGAAGAACACGTGGGCTACTTACTTTTGTTTAATTTTAATTCCACGCGGACGGAGTCGCGGGTGAAAGCTTATATTCATATAATTATTTTTAAGTGGATGTATAATTAACATAAGTTTGAAAAGCGGGGGATAATTTGTTTTTACTCAAGTTGTAAATTTAATTCACATTGGCAACATACATTTCACAAAAAAAAAACACTGTCACAAAGCTCTCTGTGTAAAGTTTTATACTAACAACGTTCATTAAAATGATTTTAAATTATCCAGCTTTGATTTAGAAACATTAACGAAACATGTAAAAAGATAAGTTATTTTACGCCAGAATTTAAAAGCGTATTCTAAATTCATTTAGAGTTGATATAAATAGATGTTCGGAAAAACGGGATTGTTACCACATTAGCCTTCTTGAAACTAGACCGATAGTAAGGGCGTGTCCCACCAAATTGTAAACTGTCTGATAACAATCCAACGTGTAAAGTATGTGATGGAAATATCGGACATGGTTCCTTTATCTGACAGTGACGTTTTTTTTTAAGCTATCTGACCCTCTATAAGTCAATGTTGGGACAAGCACTCAATATAATATTTTCTGACTGCCACATAATTACAATCAGCACGTGATCATGGCGCATGCAACCGTGCCAAAATATCAGGACTTCGAACAGGCTAATCTTAGTAGGAAATCCATTTGTTAGAAACTATACTTAGAGTGGCGTAAACTGTTGGTGCACCACCTCTAAAACGATAATCAAACATTTTCTTAGAAAAAAACTATTCATGTCTTGAAACGTATTTAGTTTTTCTTTGTTTACCTCATTTTTAGTAGAAACACAATGTTTGTAGACTACAAGAGTATTCAGAAATTTAGCAATAGTTTGTAAACAACAACTGACAACAATAGTAAATAGAGTGAGCGTGCTGCTTTACTCTAAAATCGGCAACCTACGAATACCTTCGCGATAAAATATTCACGGAGGGCATTGCCCATCCAAAATTAGGACATTCGCTATTTTTGCCCGACTGGCCGTAGAGTAATGTTTTCAAAATCCGTTACTCTGTCCGTATTTATTAACTCTTATTGTTTTACTGAATGATCTTAAAATGTGAATTGTCATTAGTATTATTCCCCAGGGTAATGTTTAATAGCGTGTGATGTTGTTGGCAGCCTTCAGAGACAGGTGAGCGTGATGAGCATGAATCTGACCGCGAAGCTGGACGAGCTACAGCGCGGCGACCGGCAGCTGGAGACGACGGTCGCGCTGTGTGAGATCCGCACGCAGCTGCAAGAGCTCACCAAGAGCGTGGAGTCATGCCAGAGCGAAGTCTCAGAGGTAACACGCCAACATACTAACACAAGCACTCACTCGGTCCAAATTGACCAAACCCGAAACTCAACACCTAACTCCAAAAAGTTTTCAAAGCGCTGTCGGTCTCAAAAGGAAATACATAACTTCAAGTATTAACCCCCAGTGAAATTAGATTTCCGGCGTGAGAATCTAGAAAGCAAACTTCTCCCTAAATACTCGTAGTTTGGCATTATTTCAGCAGCATGCAGTTTTGGCTGAAAGACAGCTTAGCAACTATCGACGAGTTTATGCTTTGGGTATTTAGCGATTAAACATGTACTTTGGTACTTATGGTGACTTATTAATAACCAGTGCACACTAAAAATATTTGAAAAGAACGATTATTACCAGACACGTGACCTGATAAAAAACTCGTTTAATTTCTTTAGCGAGCTACATTTCTAAGTTAAAACTTTCTTTTACAAAATCGTCTTAATATTTTTTTTAATAATAACGTTACCTGTATCTGTAAATATAAAACGCAGTGAATATTATAAAATCACGCGCACGCCCTTAGCAAGGTAGATACCGTTGCTACGTGATAATTGCCTCACGAGGTCGCTCGCTGCCCTCATTACTCTAAATAACATTTTTACATACATTTTTCTCTCACCTTTAATAAAATTTTCCTAACCTCAGGATCATTTTTTACTGCGGTTTAAACTGTACAGTTAACAATTTTACTTTTTTAAACTGTAATCACATACTTACTAAAATATTCATATTTGTATCATCAATTTGAACAAACATTATAAAAACCAAAGACAATAAATGATTTTGTCAGACACTGAAGTGTGTAAATGGACTTTCGCATTTATACTAAATTCGACTATTTATACTAGTATATCTAAAACATATTTCTTATAACAATACGCTACCACCACCCAGTGGGCTTTGAGGCTGGTAGACGGTGGTTAGGTACCCCAAAGATAACAAAGACAGCAGACAAATTCCTACATTATTCAATTATATTTGATGAAGGATATGCCGTTACGTATTCACACCTAAGTTTGACAAACATCGTCCTAAGAAGTCTACGTTCTATAGGTTAAGCGCGACATGGTTGCCATCAAGCAGGAGTTGGACACGGTGCAGCAAGTCAAGGAAGAGATCGAAGAGCTGCGGGAATATGTCGATAGACTGGAAGAGCATTCCCAAAGGAGGAAGCTGAGACTGCTCGAACAGGTCAGCTTATTAATTTGCTGTTGTAACTACAATTCTTGATTAAACCAGACCGCTTCGATAGACGTATTATAACTTTATAAAATGACATCTTGTACGTCTACATTTCGTAAAGCACTACCTAGAAGAAAAACGTTTGCTTCACTTAGTCTATCTATGTCTAATATGCCTTGTAACTGCAACGCATATTATTTCCATTAATAAAATGCGTTTGCCTCTCTCCACAGTAAAGAAAAATTGTATAATATTACACACCTAACAGAAGTAATTGCAAATGTAATGTATAAATACATTTTTGCTACGAAATAAGAATAAAAGTTGAATAATTACATTATTATGTTCACTTGCGTTTGTTTCATTTAAAAGTATTTGCATATTATTATTCGTCATATTTTAAATCGAAAACCTTGTTTTCGTCACTGATAAATCTCGGGAAATATATTTATAACACGCTCAGCTTAATCGTTTTAATCGAAAAGTCTTGTCGTTTTTAAATATATTCAATGAATACAAAAAGAATTGCTGTTTCATTTGGCTTTCTGCTCGAATAAAATCGTACAAAGCTGATTGAATTGAAGAGAACAACACTGCAAAATTAATTTAACTACACTTGATTTATTAAACGTTAAGATTCTTTTTTTAAATAACTACTTAGAAGGATAAAATAGAAAATTTGAAATTATAAGATGAAGCTCCACAGTCCGTATATACTTAACGTGAGTGTGCAATGTCTGAAAGTTATAGTTAAGAATATACGAATATACAAATTCTCATTTTAGCTTTTAAAAAGTAGAGATAGCAATAGTCTTTTGGTCAGATATATCATTGCTGTGTATTGTTTCAGGGTCTCACGTTTTTCTTGTCGTACGCCATCTTAGCGGCTGTCCTCGGCATGTTGCAGTTTGGTTACAACACCGGTGTCATCAACGCTCCCGGCAGAGTGAGACTCACACAATCATCTCTATGTTTCATTTCTAACAATAAATAATTCCTTAAATATCTATGTAATATTAAAAATTGAAGCTATTGTAATAGAAAGTCAAAACTAAAAGTCGAAATAAAATTAAGTAAAAATCGCACACTCAAAAGCGATTACAGTTATAACTTGTTAATATTGTGTTTCCTTGTCTCAATTTTTCTTTTAGATTTAAAAAGTTTTGTTACTATTTTATATAAATTGTTGTAAGTAGAAAACTGTGCATAACAGTTCGCTACCTTCAGCTAAACAGCTGCTTTATCTTCAGAACATCGAAAACTTCATGAAAGATGTATATAAAGATCGCTACGGAAAGGACATACACGACGATGCTGTGAACACATTGTATTCGATAGCGGTTAGCATCTTTGCTATCGGCGGTATGCTTGGCGGTTTCTCTGGCGGAATGATTGCAAACAGATTCGGAAGGTATAATCTAACAAAACTCTCGTAACTTTATTTAATTATTTAGCAAATGAGTACTGATTGTGTTTAATAACAGGAAGGGAGGTCTACTGCTAAACAACATCCTCGGCATCAGCGGCGCAAGTCTCATGGGTTTCACCAAAATCTCTCACTGTTACGAAATGCTATTCTTCGGAAGATTCATAATAGGCGTCAATTGCGGTAACTACTCGTATTCCAAGCTAACAGTAACTTTGATACACAAAGCGAGGGGAAGTTTGAACCGATGTATGTGCACGCTCCAGCGTAATAACTTTGTGACAAGCAACGCCCTCCGGCGGCGATAAATTAATTGACACCGACTGAATTCTAACCGCAGGATTAATTTGAGCCATGTTAACCGATACCATGGCGATTGCATTCAGCGGTTACGATGTAACTGATCAATTTGAACGCAACTGAATTTTCATCAAAAACTCAACGTTAATGTAAACAGAAAATAGTAAATTCTCTTATTTCGCTGACCTTTTATAAAACAAATCTTTTATAGAGCAGATTATGTTGCCGCAAGATTCTCGCAGCAATTTTCTTTTTAAATTGCATGGGATAACGTGTTGCCGCGATATTGAAAATCGCGGAAAAATTTTCTTTGAAAAGGAATTTTGCAGCTAAAAATAAAACTTTATCTCGGATAAGGTTCTTTGTAAAATCTGTTTGAAAGGGATTTTTTAAAATACCGTACTTTATGAACAATATAAGCCTGTTGTTGAGTTGATTTACCATCTTAATTTTATAAAATGCAAATGGAGATAAATTCGTTCTTTACTTTTTTATACATTTAGTTTATGTTTTATATAGTTTGTGGTGTTGATTTTGTTTTGATGATTGTGTGTGTGTGTGTCGTGTAGGGCTGAACACTTCACTGGTGCCAATGTACATATCGGAGATAGCGCCGCTGAACCTGCGCGGGGGGCTGGGCACCGTCAACCAACTGGCGGTCACCGTGGGCCTATTGCTCTCTCAGGTGCTGGGCATCGAGCAGATCCTTGGTACCGACGACGGGTGGCCCCTACTACTCGGTGAGTTAAAGAGTCATGACATACACACCAAAGTAAATGCAACTGGCATCGTTAATATGTCTATAATCATCTCTATATATAAAACGAGCTGTTGCCCGCAACTTCGTCCGCGTGGTATTAGAAAACATACGAACTATATAAATTACAAAAAACTACGTATCCCTCGGAAACCGGACATTTCTCGGGGATGAAGCTTATCCCATGTGTACTCCAGATTTTGTTTTATATCTGTGCCAAATTTCAATAAGATGTGTTGAACCGTTGCAGAATGATCGAGTAAACATTAAAAAACTAAATCAATGACTCCCACGGGAACCGTAACTATTCCCGGGATAAAAAGTAGCCTATGTGTTCTTCCCGACTATGCTCTAAACCTGTGCCAAATTTCATGGAGATCCGTTCAGCCGTTTAGGCCACAAAGGATAACAAACTTCCATCCATCCATCTATCCATCCATCCATCTATCCATCCATCCATCTATCCATCCATCCATCTAAACTTTCGCAATTATAATATTAGTAAGATTAATCATTCCATCCACCTCTGCAGTTAGTTAATGATTACGTCTGTTTTGAAAGTCTGTAATAGTAACAAACCGCAGCGCATTTGGTAAATAGTTTCGGTAATTCCAGGAACAACTCACGTGTGAATTGTGCATTTTAATGTATACAACCATTATATTTACCACTTTCCCATATTTCACTATAAATGTGGAACTATTTGGTAAGATTTAATAGTAAAATGAAAGCGATAGAAGAGACGAATAGACTGAGTAAAGTATTTTAGGAACTTTTAAGGGAATAAACACACAGAGAAATGAAAATAGCAATCATACTTACTTCCTAATGTTATAGACGTGAATGTTTATATGGATGGATGGATGTTTGTTAGAGTTTGTAGCTTAAACGCCTAAACGAATTTCTCTGATATTTGGTACAGATGTAGAGGATAATCTGGAAGAACGCAATGGCTTACTCTCTTTTTTTTTTTAATTCCACGCGGACGGAGTCTTGGGCGAAACTTAGTAATGTATAAAATAAGAAAGTATCTGTGCATACTTAATTTATAAATTAATTTCAGATAGTAGTAGTTCCTTTGCTTGATACACATTTTTATTTTTATATTAAACTTTAGTTGAAAAAGTATCCAAGGCGGGGAAAATAAACTGAACTTAGTGTGAAAATGTTACGAGCAAGTTAAAGTTTACACGATCTTTGACTCGGTCGGGGCAAGTGACGCCCAACTTCGATGCGGAATAAATACGTCTTTGACTTTCAAGACATTGATTAAATACTGCTTTCATAGAAAAATAAATATCGTAAAATATTGCTATAAAATTCTTATTTCCGCTTATGTTTTTATGCTTTTACTGCACAACGGACCATTTATTGATAATGCGAAAATTGTTGGTTTCGTGTTCTTTATTTAATACTAGGCTTTATTTACGACTACGTTACATTTGATGGCGTAATTAACAAAAACTAAATTTTGCAGCTCACTTACAGAGAAACATAGAATTAAGTATTATTTGATGTTACATCAAATATTTTTTTTAATATTTGTAATAGTGAGATGATCTTTGATAAGAAAGCCGATGTAATAGCTCAAAAAGGGGGGAAATAGACAAGGGAAAAATGTTTCTTTCGTAATACGTACCTAGATAAATACAATGCGGTCTAGGTTTGGCGATCTGTCCTGCTATTCTACAACTACTGCTCCTGCCGGCTTGTCCCGAGTCACCTCGTTATTTACTGATCACTCGTCAATGGGAAGAAGAGGCGCGACGTGCACTACGGAGATTACGTGCCAGCAATCAGGTACGCGAATTCATTGGTCAATTCTAAATCTTTATTTTAATTCGTACTACAACACACATTAACTAAAGATAAAATAATCCTGATAGATATGTAACTCAAATGTTAAATTGCGTTGAAATTGAAGTGAATGTTGAGATAGAATTGCTTCCAGGTGGAAGAGGATATTGAGGAGATGCGGGCGGAGGAGCGAGCGCAGCAGGCGGAAGCCTCCATATCGATGCGGGAACTGCTTTGCTCCCCCACTCTCCGAGCTCCCTTACTCATCGGCGTCGTCATGCAACTCTCTCAACAACTCAGCGGAATTAATGCGGTCCGATTCTGAACTAGTATTGCAATTGTGGATATACTTCAATCGGAAATTACTATAAATGTGACGAATATACTTAAATCGATTTGGATCACGAAAACCTGTTGTATCAGACTTATGATTAACTACTGATGTTTATTTCAGGAAAAGGTTGCCCCTTATTAAGCTTGGTGATAATCCACACAAGTCTTTTTTCATGGATTTATTTATGAGATTTTAAACAAAACCATCAAAGATTTCTTCATTATTATTTAATTTATAATCCGCAAGAGTGTAATGTACAAGTAAATATAGTGTATACAAGATACAAATGTCTTAAAAAAAATTACATTTTTTAAAATAATTCATGTTCTCAAGATCGAGATCAAAAGAAGACTATTAGACAATAATTTTCCGGCAGGTCTTCTATTATTCGACTTCACTGTTCACTTCGTCTGGTTTGACGGAGGAGTCTGCAAAGTTCGCGACTATGGGCATCGGTGCGATCATGGTGGGGATGACGCTGGTCTCCCTGCCGCTGATGGACCGCACCGGCCGCCGCACCCTGCATCTCTATGGCCTCGGTGGAATGTTCATCTTCTCCATATTCATTACCATCTCTTTCCTCATAAAGGTGTGTCTTATATAAGAACGACAGCAAACAAAAAGAAACTCCCTGGAGGCCTAATTGTAATCCCTTTTCCTTTTCAACCTTTTTTTAAGAAGAAAGTATGGGAAGGACAAGTGGATTTGACGGTGGAAGAACGCATGGGAAGGGGAAATTTCCCCTTTATGTGCTTCTCCTCCTCCGTCAATAAAGGGTAGGCAACGCATCTGCATTTGCGGATGTTTATGGACAGCGGTCGCTTTCTATTTCGATGGATTCAGGAAGCCGCTTGCTCGTTTGCCGCTTTACGTAAAAAAAAAACTCAAATTTAATTTCGTGATACCTCTATTTTTTTCTGAAATATAGAATTTAGTTACGATCAAATGGAAAATGATATTAAAACTATACAAAGTAATAAACTTATAAAATATGTATAAGTAATACCCTTCTTAATAATTCAAATGGAATTCTTAACCCGTCCATTTGCGAACAAAACTGTTACCTCGAACTTTTATTGAGATATTTGCCCATGTCAAAATATTGACATGACATCTCATAGGGTTCGTCATATTAAGGATACAAAGCAAACTTATTTGTCTTAATATTACATGTTACTTTGGCTGTAAAAATATGGAGACTATTCAGAATTTAATGGCAAATAAAGAAAGGGCAAACGCTTGGGTTTTTTTTAAAATGACCCGGAAAGAATTTTCGTATTGTTCAACATCAAGCATAAAATTAAATTAAAAAAAGTATGTGCGTACTATGTTTTGGTAAGATTTCATCGTAAGTTTATATTGGCTCGTTCCTTCCATTTGAGCTAAGAACTCAACTCTACTGATATTTGTATTATTGCATAATGCCATCACTTACACTCTCTTTTAAAGTGTAGACATAACAATATGTGTCAATTAATTTGTCACGTTAGTCGAAATCCACAGTTACATTAAAAGCATTTAATTACACTCGGAAATCAAATACAAATGTTGACAGCGGAAGGAACCAGCCACTGTGTGTTTCATTTCGTGAATCCGCGCGTTGTTTGCTTTTGTTTATTCCTTAACAACGATGCGCGGAACACGAAACTGATTGTTCTAGAATTAACTATTTGCTTAAGCACGCTTTTTACTGCTTTGTTCGTTATTTTCACATTGTTAAACTATTGTGTGCTCGACAACTATCTCATTCATGCAAACTTCTTTTTAAATTATTTAATTTTGTTTTGAGATTCATACCCATATAATACTAAAAGAACATTGAAACATTTCCAGCCCCTTATCGTTCGTTTATACATATACAATTATCACGTATATCACTTTGAATAAATTCATCTTTTAGTTACCTACAGATTGCTTTTAAAAGCTTTAATTATGACTCGATAATATTAACACAACAACCCAGTTGACAATATTGCATGAAAGCTTTTATGTTTTACTCATTCATTACTTCACGTTGATTTGCTTTTGCTTAACGCTAGTTCCTCCCCCCCCCCCTTGCG